CGTCCCCCGCCCTGCGGTCGCCTGCCCATTGGTCCCCCGCCCTGCGGTCCCCCGCCCTGCGGTCCCCCGCCCTGCGGTCCCCCGCCACCATCCCCGCTGCTGTCCCCAACGCTGCTCAGGTGCAGTTCTCCCGGGCGGCGCGTGTGTGCAAGCGAGACATGGGCGGCTCCCCGCGGGCCCTGGACCGCCACTGGACGTCCTTCCTGAAGCTGCGGCTCAACTGCTCCGTCCCTGGGGACTCCACCTTCTACTTTGACGTCTTGCAGGCCTTGACTGGGCCTGTGAGCTTGCACGGCCGCCCTGCTCTCTTCGGCGTCTTCACCACCCAGGCCAACAGGTCGGTGCGAGTCCGAGCAGAGTGGCCGCTGGCCCTGCGGCCCAGGCCAGGCCGCCCGTTGCCGGGGGCGGGGTGGGGAGGTGAGGGCCGCCCGCTCAGGCCAGCCTGCCGCTCAGCCCGCCCTGGGCCGCCTGGCTCCGCCCAGCGGGGTGCCTGAAGGCAGCGCCAGGTCCCCCAGGCCCCGGAGCTGGGCCGTCGCCCCACGCGCCGCCCCCGACTCTGTCCCCCAGCATCCCCGGCTCTGCAGTCTGCGCCTTCTACCTGGAGGACGTTGAGCGGGGCTTTGAGGGCAAGTTCAAGGAGCAGAGGAGTGCGGATGGGGCCTGGACCCCCGTGTCCGAGGACAGGGTCCCCTCCCCCAGGTACAAGGTGGGGGCGGCTTTGTGGGGGCAGAAGCAAGCAGCATCTGTTCCCAAGATGGGGTTGTGAGGGGGAGCCCCAGGCCTGGGAGGGCGCTGCCAGGGGAGCCGGGACCGCCGAGGCCTGGGTGGACGGCTGGGGGCAGGCCACAGGCCCAGAGAGCCCAGCCCGCCCTCAGGCCTGCCTGTGCCCCCAGGCCGGGCTCGTGTGCAGGGGTAGGTGGGGCGGCCTCGTTCCCCTCCTCCCGAGACCTCCCCGACGACGTCCTGACCTTCATCAAGGCCCACCCACTGCTGGACCCTGCCGTGCCGCCCGCCACCCACCAGCCTCTGCTCACCCTCACCAGCAGGTACGGAGCCACGGCGCTGACCACGCCCTCGTCGCTCGGGGAATTTCGGGGGCGCCTAGGACACCCTGGCCCGGGAGTGGTGCCGGCCGGCCACAGAACACAGGGCTCCTGCGCGCAGGCCGCCCTGACCCAGGCCCGTCTGCCTCCCAGGGCCCTGCTGACCCAGGTGGCTGTGGACGGCGCGGCCGGTGTCCACGGGAACGCCACCGTGCTGTTCCTCGGCTCCGACGACGGGACGGTGCTGAAGGTGCTGCCCCCGGGGGGGGCCTCTGGGGGCCCCGAGCCCGTCCTGCTGGAGGAGATTGATGCCTACAGCCCCTCCCGGTGAGGCCTCTGTCGAGGACAGACGTGAAATGCTGGATTGGGGGGGGGGCTGCAGGGCGGACGGTGGGGTCGCAGGCTCGGCCAGAAGCCGGACATGGGGCGACTGGGCAGCCCCAGCCCGAGAGTCACGTGCGTGCCGCCCCGCCTGTTCTCTGACTCCCCAGGGAGAGGAGCCGGCCCTGACCCTCTGCCCCACCCTAGGTGCAGCGGGCGGCGGGCTCCCCACACAGCCCGCCGAGTCCTGGGGCTGGAGCTGGACGCCAGGGGGCACCGGCTCTTCGTGGCCTTCTCCGGCTGCGTCCTCTACCTCCCGCTCAGTCGCTGTGCCCGGCACGGGGCCTGTCGCAGGTGAGCAGCCTTCCTGGGGCGGCGGCACACAGGGGCTGGTGGCACCCTGGCGCCTGCTGAGGACGGGGCCAGAACAGGGTCGGGGCCGGGTCGCCGGGGCCGGCCAGTGACCCAGCGCTGCCCAGGAGCTGCCTGGCTTCCCGGGACCCGTACTGCGGATGGCACAGCGCCAGCGGCTGTGTGGACATCAGGGGACCTGCCCGGTAAGTGCGGGCGGTGCCCCAGGAGACAGCTCCCCCCAAGAGGGCGGCCCGGTGGGGAGGAAGTGGCTGCCCCGAGCCCCCCTTTCCCCCCAGGACTGCTGTGGATCCAGCTGGGGACCAGGAGCCCACGGAGCACGGCGACTGCCAAGGTGAACAGAGACGGTCGGCCTTTGGTCTGCCCCCCCCCCTACAGCCCCCCAGGCAGGTTTTCACGCCCCCTGCCCCCACCTTGACCTGCGCTCTGTCATCATAGATGGATCCACGGGGAGCCGCTCCGGCGCCGGGGACTCTGCCTACGGTGAGCGTCTCCTCCCAGCGCCGGCCACACGTCCGAGAGGGCCGCTGCCCCCGCTGGCCGCGGGCCTGCCCAGAGCCAGCACCCCTCTAGGTGCTTGGTCGGTGCCGCGCCCTCCCCCACCCGGGCGAGCGGACGCTGCATGTGGGCCTTCCGTCCTGAGCTGAGGGGGGCTGACCCGAGCGGGGGTCGGGGTGGCGCGCTGGGGCCTCACTGGCTCTGGCCTGGTCTCTGTCACCAGTGCTTCTGGGGCCTGGCCCCTCCCCAGAGACCCCCAGCCCCCCCAGTGATGCCCAACCCAGGCCCCAGTCTTCCACTCTCGGAGCTCACACTCAGGGTAAGGGGACGGGGGAGGGGCAGGTGTGAGGTGCGGGGCTGCTGATTCTGGAAGAGTTCACCCCACTGCCCGCACTAAC